TCTATGAGTATCCTCTGATTTATTCACATGTGTGAAAAGTTGCCCCTCAGTGGGCACATATACACATGCAATTAACACGTCTGAATTTTCTGTGCAGAAAATTCAGACTCATTAAAGTGGTCCCCAGCGCGTGTCTACACATGCGCTCTCATCGGGTGCAAATTGAGCCTGACAGTAGCAGTCCCGTTCAGGGCTGCTCCTGCCCTGCTCTGCTCCCCTGCAGCAGCCCTGAGTAGGGAGGGCGTGGCAGTGGGGAAGTGAGCTGTCCTGGCTGGGAGGCAGGTGCCAGGTAGCCAGGACAGCTCACCCAGCCCCGTGGAGCTCAGGATGGGTCCCAATCTCCATGTGGCTGGCAGGTACCTCTTACTGAGCCAAGACAGCTCTCTCTGTCCCCTGTGGCCCCCTGTTGCCTAGGCTGACTGGGAGCAATTTCCTCCCGGTCAGTGTCTACACATGCAGTACAGGGAGTAGAAAAGGGAGCATTAGACTAATATACTGCACAGTAATTGCTGCACATGTGTAGACGGTGATGCTTTATTGTGCATTAGGTTAGTAGATGCACCCAGTGAGATGGTCTGTTGCTCCCACTTCAATTTTGGTTAATTTCCTGCTGTTTGTTAGAGATCCAGCATCTCTGCAATAATCCTGGTCTCCAACCCAATCTCCTGACATTTCAGGCCTCACTGGCAGTGGGAGACTTCACTGGAATGAGACATGAGCAAATATTTTTTATTTTTTGTGGTGAAGAAGAGATGAGATGATAATGGTAGACTGAAAAAAGTTGGCAGGTTTCCTTGCCCTTTCTTTTTTTTTAGCCCATCTGTAATTTGAATCGCACTACTAAGAATTCACTTGGTCATGGCTCCCCACAGGACCTTGTAAGTGGGTGGGAAAGTCTTTGAAAAAAATATAATAGTGTGGGGTTGAATTATTACCTGTTTTAGAAATGGACCCGTGAAGTGCCTTTCAAAGAGCTTGGTAGAGGTGACTGTGCTGGGGGTTGCAGTATTTTTCTAGGTAGTTGATAGGATAAAGCGTGTTTTGACCATATAATCATAAAGGCTTATCATGGCACTGATTAAAATCCCAATATCTATTTTTCTTTTAGTTTGGGAACAATAACAACTACATGAACATGGCGGAGGCGAATAATGCGTTTCTTACTGCAAATGAGGTAGATGTTTTTCTTTTTATCTATGGTCATATTCTGCTGCTTGCTTTGATAATTTAACAGACTTTCAACGGATGAAGAGTGAAGTGCTGAATTTGTGTGTGTTTTATGGAGCACAAAATAAAGACTTTAATGAGAAAGAAAATAACCTGACAGCTCTCCATTACTAGTCAATTTAGCTGTCCATAAGGCTGTTACTTACATAGCATGTCAATAGAAACAAATCTGCTTTATGTATGAAAAAAATTATAAACAGAAGGAAAGAAATAAAAGGCACAGTAGGTATACAATCTGAAAGCAAGCCTAGTACTATTCATTAGTAGCTAATGGGCTAATTTTGATCATAGATACAAACATTTTAATTTGGATTCTTCACTCATATACGAAAAAACTGAATTTTTTTCTACATCTATACATCTGCAGTGTTTGTGTTGTGGGAATTAGGAATAGATTTTCAACTAGGGATTGGACAGGTTTAGGAACAAGCCTTGGGGCTGAATGATAAAGGCTGACTGGGGCAAAGATGTGGTACATACGGCCTCTTTCTTTGAAAGGTGGCAGCAGGGAAAGGGTGTGTCAACCATTGTGCTCCTATAGTAGCTTTTATAACACCTTCTGACAGCCAATTTATAGAATATCAGTGCTCTGGTATTGATATCAGCTATGGATGGAGCTGCTTTTTGGGCATCCCTGGAAAACGAAAGGGTGGAGGTATAAAAATTGCAGATATATTGCCTAATAAAATGTGGATGTGTGAATATAGACAAGGAGAGAGAACTGGAATGAGTAGTAAGCAGTACTAAATATGTGAATAAGATGTGTGTCATAAATAATTTTTCAAGCTCAAGGAAAGGTTAAAAAAATGAATAGCCTTGCGTTTGGACATTGAAGGTGGTGATTGTCATGAATGTTCTTGTAATGGTTAAAAAAAAATCTTCAGTTAAAAATAGTTTACAATAAATATAAAGGTTAGAATTAAAAGTAGCATTTTATTAATTGTTTTTTTATAACAGCCACCATCTCTTTTACCCAACAAGATTGCTTAGATAAGGGAATATTGTTTGGCACTGTCTCCAGTGTTATTTGTGATAATGAACACAAACCCCATCTGTAATGACAACATGATGTTTCATTCTGTAGAATTTCTTTCCTACATTTGAATCAAACATTGATGAAAGCTCTGCTGCCAGCAGCTGTTCAGAGACAATTTAATTCCAGCTGTGATAATTCACCGTGTCAGACATTGGCTGTTATATGTTGATACAACAGTTCTCCAGATTTGCATTTTTATCAAAAGGAACAAATGTTTTGAACATTTCAGTACAGATGGCATTTAACCATGCACCCACACTTAAAAAAAAACATGCAAGAGAGAAATATTGAAAAGTTAATAACTTCTAAAAAATATGATAAACCCATAAATGTTATACCATCTTGGTCACAACAGCATCTTTCTGCAATACCAAATTTCATACTATTCAGTCCCTTTCTACAATCTGAATAGCCCAGTGATATGGATTAAGACGTCTTCACTAAAGGACATTATTTCCTCTTTCGATTACATATATTTTGTCCTCGTTCTTGGATCATTTATACATTGTGTTTAAAGCTATACTTATTGGAGCAATTATACTGTGAGATGTATTTTCATGTTTTAAAAATGTTAAAGTATTCATCAATTTACTTATGACTATAAATTATTACAAGTGAGAGAGACACTATATCATTAAGACTGTTTCTTGAAAAAAAATAAGTATTACACAACTGTTATATTTATACATCTCTACCAGATTTACTCTTTTGGATGGGGAAGGAAGTCACATTCTTATAATTACCACCATCTTAAAAATATGACTCTTAAAGAGACTTTGAGAGCTAGAATAATAATATTGATTTTACTGAATATTACTTGAAAAAAAATAATATGATCAAGTGTTAATATTTGCATTATTGTGTGAACCTAATGTTGGAATGAAATATTTAATTATTTGGTTATGTATTTAAGTGATTTTGTATTTATTTGGCTTTGTATTTAAATTTTGGCCTATATTTAATTATTTGCTTTTGTATTTAAATGAGAGGATTTGGGCCAGGGGCACTGCAGAACTAGAAGACCATTTAAGTCCTGTAAATTATATCCTAACAATGTAATCACCAGAACCACCTTCAGGTTCATAATCTACATGTTTGCTTTATGTTTTCGGTCTCTGTGTCATGATTACCATGACCCATTTTTAAAGCACCTTAAATATTTATTGAAATAATATTTCAAGTGTTAATTACAGTGGTAATGAAAACAGCCAAATGCCACATATCAAGAATGAGTGTTTATCCGTATTGTTAATGTGATATGTTAGATTTCATTAAGCAGTAATGGGGTAGCAAATGAGTCACAAATTACAGTTGCATCTGTTACTAGACCACATTAGTGCCAAAATAACTGCAAATGCAGCCATAGGGTTATGTTCATTAGCCAACCACTTCTCATCACCAATCCATCCTTTGTGTTTGTGAACTCAGGGTTCCACAGTAAGAAAATTTACACCTTTTGTAATACAGCAATGAAAGTCAAATGTCTCCCTAATGCAGGACTAGCTTTCAAAGCTAGAATTAAGTTGCAGTATTTTGTATCAAGTGAGACCACAAGAGTCTCAGTTCACTTTCATTGTACTCATGCAGACTGTAGCAGGCGGGGACCTCATCATTTCTGGTGTGAGACCAATAATGACAGCTGACAGGTTCTATATGCAAGCAAAGGTTTTTCTTGTGTTTCAGTTTCCATTTTCTCTCGAGCAGTTATTAATTTATATCATCATTAACGGTTTGAAGGATGACAGTTTACAGCAGTTAATGAGATCTTTCAATGAACATATCATTTTTAAATTAACTGGCATTAAGTCACTCTTTCAAACAACATAAATAATACATAAAACAGTTCCCCCCCACCCTCAACTGGAATTTTGAACTAATACAAACAAATCCCAGAGCAGTGTTGCATGTCCAAAGCAAGACAGAGTGCCTATTTTAAGATTGCCAACTGCCCTGTCTGATCAAGACAGTCCTGATTTGGGTACATTTAAAATGCCCTAATTTCAATCACTGACTTTCCATTATTAAGTTGCAGCGGACCTGAAATAATATATGAAAGTTCATTTAGCTCATGAGAAATTTGAATAAGCATAGTTCATTTGTTTTCCAACTAAAGTCAGCAGTGTTGAAGCCAGATACAGACTGTACTTGAATAAAGATTATCTTAGACAGACGCTTACAAACACAGGCACAAACCCTGAAGATAACTGGCAGTAAGTGTTCTGCTCAAGGCATCTTAACAGGTGTTTACTTCATAACAAACCTACTGTTCAAACAAAGCTGGCTTGCTTCAGAAAACATTGGATGCTACTGTAATCACCATCACTGCTGTAAATATCAGTCCTCTAAATAATAACCCTTATGTAAAGAGTCAGTATATTTCATGGATGGAATACAAAAGATATCAAAACCAGATACATATGATTTGATATTATTAGTTTAAAAAAAAAAAAGAAACAAAAGATGAGCAATGTGTAGTATTGAATTAATGTTGTGTATATGCTACAAAATTGTCAGTATTTTATGAAGCATGCGACTAATGTAAGCTGTTTGTGCTGTTTCACTAACATATCAATAAAGTGGCAATTTGTTATACGGCCAAATCCAATGTAGCTGATGTTCAGACTAACAACAAAGACAGATGTTGCTAATTAAGTACACATTAAAAAACTGTTAATACTGATACTCCATTAAAACCATATGATAATGAGACTTAAATCTTTAATCAGAATGATCCACAAAGCCCTTTGGTATATGAAACTTGTAAAAAATTACTTACAGTATTTTAATTTAAGATCTAAATAATACAGAATGTAGAGAATTATTTTGCATTGCAAGGCCAAAACTATCTGGAGTGGTGTACTTTACTCTCCTTGTTTTCTTTTCTGTTAGCAGACATTCCATACTCCAAGCCTTGGTGATGAAGAGTTTGAGATTCCACCAATTACACCCCCTCCTGAGTCAGACCCCACACTGGGAATGGCAGACATCTTGTTGCCATTTCAGGGACTAGGTGAACAGTTGTCTGCACAAGGAAATGAATTTACACCCCAGTTTCCTCCACAGAGCTTGGATCTTCCTTCTATTACAATATCTCGAAATCTTGTGGAACAAGATGGTGTAGTCCACACCAATGGATTACATATGGTAGGCATGCTTCTTTGTATCCTTCAGTGCTTAAAACATGGGTCAAAACAAAGGAAGGCATATTTTGTAATAAATGTATATTCATTGATTTCTGAAAATGGCATTAAGATTTAATATTATGTGGTCAGCCTTAACACTTGCCAATAGTAGCTAATGTTATTTCTGTCTATATGTGATGGCAAGTACCTCAATATTACACCGCAAATAATGAGATACCATTATTTAGTTCCCTAAGGCAACTGACAAATATTTAAGGGTAGCTATTGGTGGATTTAGAAGAGTAAGATATCTTATTAATAAACAAAATGTTGTTTGCTGCATGTAAACAGATCTCTTGCAGTAAGTACCCTAGTAATACTGGGAATGTAACAATTTGCATTTTAGGACTGGGCTTTGAAAGTGAGGACATTTTGTACCAATAATTGCTGGGGAAGTTCATGAGTCAAACACTTTGAGGATACAATTTATTCTGAAAGTGACACCCAGTTCAGGACTAGGAGATAGTATTGTGTTGGTTAGGGTAAGCTATAGATTTTTAAGGGAACCACTTGTATGTATTTCAAGTGCCAGATAAATGACTAGCTTTGAACCAGGTGTTCATTTCTAGCATTGGAAATTTTTTCAGAAATTTCCACCTCTAGAAATCACTCTGAGAGATGGAAAGGGAGCAGTACAAGCATTCAGCCTACAGCGGCCCACTTTCACTTGCTCTCAGGTAGATTAGAGTAGCAGGGCAAAGCTCCCTACCACTTCCCAGACCAGGGATCCCCAGTCTAGGGAGCCAGCAGGGAGCAGCTGCTCCTTCAGAATGGTGCAAAACAGCAGATGTATATGGGCATTTGTACATACGCTAAAGTGCCCTGTGCTGCGGAGCATGCATTTGTATAAATGGTGAAATGTGCATCAGCGCTGCAAAAATGGCAGCGGTGTGCTTTTGAACTAAAACACATTGACGGTGTTTTAGTTCAAAAGCGCACTGCTGCCATTTTCTGCACGCTAATGCACATTTCGCCGCTTATACAACTGCATGCGACACAGCGCAGTGCGCATCAGCTCGCATGTGGAACAGACTTGATTAATCTGTGTCGTAGCATGAAAAGGTATGTGTATAAATGCCCTATGTGGCCACTAGCTTGAGAGTAATGAAGGATGATTTTCAAACATAATGCTGGGAACGATGAAAAAGTGGGGAAAAAAGCAAATATGCAGTATACTAGTAATAAAAGAGGTATTTCCCTACTCTGTGCATCCCAGAGGGTAAATCTTTAAAAGCAGTCATTTAAGTTTGTTTTTAGCTTTGTCATTGTGCTTGGGAATGCAGGGTTTAATTGTCCTGTGGGGATCAGTGTGCATATTCACTGCTTTTTGTATATGAAAATAGTGAAAGCTGTAGTAGGAGAGAAGTAGGAGCAGTATTTAGAGAGTCCATTTGTTAATTCTCTTTTTCTTAGCATCCACTATCTACCACCATTAGATATAGGATACTGGGCTAGATGGAGCCATGATCTGACCTATTATAACATTTCTTGTATTTCTATATGGAAATGGGGACTTGTGATAGTTTGTGCCCTGTGCCTTCTGGGAAGCTTGTCAGAGTGGTATGGGTAGGCCAGGGAGATGGTTTCTAGGGCTGTGCAAAACTTTGGTAGCCTATTTGATTCAGAGGAGATTTGGCTCGATTCGGGGGATGAATCTCCAAATCCAAATTGAATCGGGAGACCCATTAAAAGGTCCGAATTGAATCAGAAGCCTCTGAATGGATATGGAAGCCTCCAAATTGATTTGGAGATTTGGGCAGTCCCCACTTGCTGCTGCAGGGAGCTGGACCCGGGCTTAGTGCCGGTAAGTAGCGGGGTAGGGCTGGAGGAGGTGGGAGGGGAACATGGTGGGACCCCCACCCACCTCCATCCCCTGCTGGCTCCCTTAACCTCCCTGTCACCTTGTGCTGTCTGGGAGTTGGGGCCGTTTGGGTTGAGCGGTGCTGGGCTCCGGGTGGCAGCTGGAGCTGCCCCAGCTCTGGGATAGTGCGTGGGGCCCTGCCAAGCTGCGCTGCACCTGTGTGATGTGACAGCTGCCACGTGGGTGCCAGACGACGGGGGGGCAATCCTTCCTGCCCCCTGCTGCATGGGGGGGCTCTGTCACGAGCCACCAGAGGCCCCGATAGCTGCTGTTGCAACTGGTGAGTGCAGGGCTTTTTTTTTTTTTTTTTTAAAGTGCCACTATGGTGGGGCTGGGAGAGTGGGTGAGGGGTGGGGCCCCACTCGCTGCTACCATACTCCAGCCTCCAGTACTGCTGCTGCCACCTGTTTGACTCAGAGGAGATTTGGCTTGGTTTGGCAACCGAGTATCTGAATCCGAATTGGCCAAATCGAATTGGGACAGTAATTCGAATCACTGAATTGAATCACTGTCTCTCCGAATCGGCCGAATCCAAAGCCAAATCGAATATTTGCTGCTTTGCACAGGCCTAATGGTTACTTCATTAATCCTAATAGCCATCCCATTGATAATGTAATACAATCTTAGTTTGCATTTTCTACAGCGTTTCCTCAGAATGTGGAGCTCTTACCTTGATCTTAATGCCACTGGGAAAGCAAAAGAAAGGAATATGTATAGTATGGAAAAAGAGAAGAAGCCAGGGAAAATGAAAGCTGCCCTAGAAGGAGGGAATCCTTGGTTCTAGTTGGGTCTTTCCTCTCATTGAGAGAGGAACTAAAACTATTCATTTTGTCCAATAAATATTAAATCCAAGGCAGTCAGCCAACTTCATGAGGACTCTTGGAGAAGGATCTGGGCATTAGAGCACTTTGCTGGGAAGCAAGCGTTTCAAGTTCAACTCACCTCTGGGTGTCAGAAATCTAGAATTTAGCTCTCCTGTTCCTTAGGCTAGTACCCTAATTACTAGGCTAAAACACAAGAAAGTTGTCGTCCTTTTTGCTTCTAGCTGGTATACACCTAGAACAATTTTGTTTCTCCACAAGGTAAAATTGTTTAAGTGCCAGAAACTGCACATCTGTGGCTGCATATATGCCATTTAGGTGCATAGAGGAATTAGGCATCTGCATGTTTGTATGTATGTGGGTTCATATATGTGTAAATTCAATACAAACCCTGTCTTTTGAGGCAGGAGAAACAGTATTTTAGGCTACATGTCACATATGTACATGTAGGCATTATCCCGTCAGCACTATCAGTTGGATTGTTGAATGAGCAGATTTTGGCTTTTAGTTTGCATTTTTCCTATGTTTTGATTCTGCCATGAGTAATGACAATGGATGCTTCCCTTCAGATGAAGGAAGGAGCCTGCTGTGGTTGAATGCCCTCTTCCTCACCCTCTTCCACCTCCACTGCATTAGTGCTTCTGTGAACTTCATTGATGACAGACTCATTTCTGTATGGGCTGAGGTGGAGGCTTACAGAAGCACAGACCTTCCCCTGTCAGTAGTCTTCTGATACTTCTTGTACAGACTTCTACTCTAATCCCTATCCCCTGCTGGTGCTGGGAGAACCTGTGATAGCACAACCTGAGTGGTCATATGCAGTGGGCCCCAAAGTCTGATAGTGAGGAGCTGTGCCAGGGTATTGTTAATGTTACCCTCAGGGTCATCCCATGTGAGTTTTACTGTGTGAAAGGGGATGAGCAATTGCCACTTGTTTAAGTGGTTGAGGTTTCTTCCCCTTTCCCCCCCATCCCCCCGCTCCCTTTCACTTAAATCACTCTTCAACCCTACGTATAAATGGTCGATCACTACAGGATCTAGAAATAAATAAATACATAATGGAGGGTCACCACATAGGTCTCTAAAAGAGCCTTTTGCTCTATCTGCTTTTCAGATGCCTTTTCTACTTCTAAGCCAAATTCCAAAAAGTGACAATGAAAACAGTACATCACATTTTATACTGAAAACGTGCACTTTATTAAACTGGTAAATATTTATTAACAATATTAGAATTCATCTTTAAATTAGACATTTCATAAATTACCTTGTCTTGAAGCTCTAAAAATTTTATTGCAGCAATAAAAAAATGTAAAGGAGGCATTTTGACTATGAAACTTAATTTCATGGTCAATTGAATTTACTATATCTGTAAGAACTAAAGATGGGGCAATAAAATAATTATGATATCCGTGTATACTTACAGAATATTCTTGTGCAGTGATGTTGGAATACTCTTATTTAAATGCTTTATTAATAGCCTATTGCTAATCACTAAAGCAGACAGTGTTCTAGGTATTGAAAAACAAATAGCTTCATTAAATGAATACATGCTGTTAAAATAATTTAATATGAACCCTATCAAGTTTATTGGTCATTTTCTGAAGTATTAGAGAGCTTACTGTAGGTGATATTTAATTTAGCTAGATATAGACTTGCTCTCTTGAAAAGTCCAGTAGAATTTCACCTTGAAGAAATGTCATGCGATTTTAAATCACAAATGTTGAAAAAATAAAATGTGCTTGGACAGAATTATGATTAATACAGTGTGTCTTTGGCTTTGTTCTATGTACTACCTGACATGTTCACCTATAAACTTGAATGCAGAAACGCCAGAGGCATGGTTAAAAATAGGTTATGTCAAGGTTCTCCTCCGTCTCCCTTAGGGTACAGAGTTGGCTAGCTACATAATAATACTTCTGCAAGCTCTTCAGATATTTCCCATAGGAAAGCCACAAAAATAATAAATAATACTTTACATTATATTTTTGATTTATTATTACTTATATTCTTCAATTCTTCCAGTGTGCAAGCAAGATGTTTATTACCAGAATAAATGTGCTGTAGCAGTTTTTAAAAGATTGTATTGATGGACTAACAAAGGCTTATACTATTAACAGTAAGATAATTTATGATGTACTGGAACTGATTTCCTATCTGGCCACGTTGGTTATACTATAGAAAGAGTGACAATTTGTCACGTTGTTGATTAGCTTCATTATTATTGGCAACAAACACGACACATTTATCTTGGTTAAATGCATGCTATTACGTTTAAAAACA